ACATCACTCAGCAGGGTGGTGATGTAATGTGGGTGGGGGCAGACCCACGCAGCAGCCTCGGCATCGAGCTACACCCTCCTCGTCCCGGACTCCGGTTACAAACCGCCTCCCTGCAATTAAGGGTGCCCGGCCCTGAGCAAGAGTCACAGCAGGGCAGGCGGGAGCAAAAGCCGGTCCCTGAAGACACACAATCTCTTCCTGATTCAGGGTCCGGCGTGACTAACGCACCGCGCCTCGCAGGCGAGGCCCTTTCTCCCGATCAGGGCCCTCCAGAGGTGCCCGCCTGGCCCCCGTGTGCGACTCGTCTGGAGGGTGCCCGGTTCAGGAAGTCCTCTGGTCCCGGTTGCGAGCCAGGCTGGATGCTCTGCGGGACGTGCAGGAAGTTGAGAAGCGGCCTTAAACCACCTCCAGCGGCGGGTCCCTCCGGTCCAGCTCTTTCCTGCTCCCCAGAAGAGAAGGCCCTTCTCTCAACCCTCCCCAGAGCCTCCTGGGGACCCAAGCCAGGCCACCCTGCCCAGCTGCAGCGCTGGCCAGCTGTGGTGGGGAGGCAGAACGGCAGCCCGAGATGGAGACGCGCTCGCTGCTGCCTGCCTGGCTCCCTCCCTTTCCCGACATTTCTGCACTGCTTTCTGGCCGTGTCTGCAGTCACCATCGAAACTCCCCACCTCTTCTCCCCTGTTGTCCCCCAGGACAAGAACCCGCAAGAAGCAATGCATTCACGGCGCTGGATAAATGGAAGGAGGCCACCAAACTGGCTGGGTTCACAGAACCAGATAACCCCTTGCTGCCCCCACGACATGGGGCTGCTGTGGAAATAGGCATGATTGTCGTTTTGGAGCCCAGTCCTGTTCACAAACCACAGCTCACACCCCAGCGACTACATGGGTTGTTCACGGTTTAACCAGGCACGGTTTGCTATCTTGGCTGGGTTCAGACAATACAGCAATGCTCGTTTCAGCAACGGTGCTCGCTTAAACCCACCGCAGCCCGTTTTCAACCCTGGAGTGTGTGTTGTCGCGTTGTCACAATGCCAACTCGCAAAGCAGCAGCGGTCGCTGCTCTTCTTGGCCTCACGAGGCTGCTCCGAGTGGGATCGCCCCGGAACTAGGGTCGGAGCAACCGCTTCCAGTAATAGCGTGGCTGGGAGTTGCGGGAGCTGCAGTCCCAGGAGGGCAGCCGGAAGGCAGCGCTGCTTCTGCACTGCCACAAATCTAAGGAACCCGCTCCCTCTGTGACAGCCACTGGCTTAAATGGCTTCACAAAGTGCACAGAGCAGGACTTGAGCTGCGGTGACCAGCCACGGGGTGAAATGGAGCCTCCACATTCAGAAGCAGTCTCCCCTGTGGCCACCAGCCATCCTGGCTACCTGCAGCAGGGGGTGATGAGAGGGAGAGCAGGGCTGTCCCACCACTCAAATACCACCTGCAGTTCTCCTCTTCCCTCCCCGTCCACTCTTCCTTGTGTGACACAACTTTTTAGAACCTAAGCCTGCAGGCTAGGGAGTGCCTTGTTTCTACTGATTGTATATAAGCTGCCCATATAAGAACAGGCCAAGAAGCAACAACTTTACAAGGCTGTTAGCGTCTCTTCATGGGCTTTCCGGGGGACCCCTGGCTGGGCAGGGTGGGAAATCAGACACTGGGCAGGCCGGAACCTCAGTCTGATCCAGAAGGACCCCTGGCGCATTCTGAGCTCTGTGGGGCAAGCAGTCTTTGCACACTGCAGAGGGGAAACTGAGGCAGGGAGACTCAGACTGGCCTAACGCCGCTGAGCGACTCTGTTGCTAAGGCAAGATTTGAACCCGAGTCCCTTGAGCAGCATGTGGCTAGGAAAATGGGCACAGAATACCCAGCTCACTACTCTGGCCCTGAGAAAAACAATCCAAGGTGCACAGCATCCGGCCAAATATTTTGACTCCCCCGTTTCTTCCCCATCGACTGACTTCTGCGCCACCGAACTGGACGAAGAGACCTGGAGAGCTCAAAAGCTTGCCTGTGGAACTTTGTCCGGTCCTATCAAGGCGCAGTCCAATGATAGATCTGAGTCCAAAAATGAACGTCCAGCAAATACGCTGGACAAAAACGAGCTGACGGAAGACATTATGAAACGGGCCACCAGCTGCACGGGAGGGAGCGTCCCCTCCACAGGCGGGCGGGGGCCGGGGGGACGACCCATCCCGCCACAGTTCTGTCGCTACCGCTGGCTTTCTGCAAAGCCAGAAAGTTGCAAATGTGCAGGGAGTAAGAACATGGCAAGCCTGTGTGAATCTCAAGCAGATAAGAAATAGACGTGGGAACTGTCTGGTCCTTGACAGAAGGAAGGACTCTTTCTCCAGCACGGGAGGGGTGCGTACGTTGATGTATCGCTGCATTAGATGTGTGTTAGGTGACCGAATTGGCTACCTCGGGTATGAAACGCGTGTACTGGGGTGCAACGTTTGAGACACTGCTTTGGGCTGAATGTCCCTTTTGTCTGCCTTTATTTTATGGTGCACTAGAATAAAGCTGGTTTTGGCTCTAAGTCTTGTCTCAGGCTCCTTTTGGCTTGGGTCTGGGGTCCACCCGGGTTTGCCCCAGCTGTTGACTGGCACAGTCCGGTAACAGTTTTCTGCAAAGCCATCCCAAGCAGCAGGCCCGGCTCCCTTGCTGGCATGAGATAAGCGTGGGTGGCAGGGAGCGGCGGCTGGGGGGGGGGGCGTGCGGCTGAGAGCACCGGAGGCAGGGCAGAAATCATCACCAGGCAGGGAAGTGACTCAGGGAGGAGGGAGGGAGAGGGAGGGAAGGCGGGCAGCCGGGGGTCCCCAGAAGGGAAAGCTCGGACAGGCACGGAGGGAGCTGAGTCTGCCTGGCATGTGGACGGGCCGGGAACAAGGCCATGCTCCTATCTGGCGGTGCTCAGGCCCTGCGTTCGGGTCCCCGAACCAGGAGGAGAATATGTCAAAGCCCAGCTCTGCAGAAACCCAGCGCAGCCAGGAGGTACGCCTGCGACATTCTCTTTGCTGTATGCCATCCTCCACCTAAAGTACCATCCCGGAGATTCCAGGATCTGTGATATTTCAAACTTCTACTATTTTAACACGGTTTTTAAACATCAGACCCTCTGTGGGGCATTTCTCTCGTTTTACTCCGGGGAACTGAATCAAAGATGTAAGGGCCCAGTCCAAGGGCGCAAGGTGGACTTGGGGGAATCGACCTCGCCTCCCCGACCCTGTCAGACTCTCTGCTCGCTTGCTTTTTTGCCCAAAACACCTTTTGGTGGGTTTGTAACCTGGAAAGGAAGGGAAACTGAGGCACAGCCCTGTGTGTGGGGTCATCAGTCCTACAGTATGGGCTGAAATCAAACTGCCTTTCTCTTATGACTCTGCGTGTGCCGGGAGGCAGGGAAGGTGCTGAATATGAAGGGGAGAAGAGGCTGTGGGCAGGGGAGTCCGACCCCTCCACCTGTTCCAGCGGCCTCCATCCAGATCAGGCCCCGTATGCTGACATCCAGAGAAGCCTAGGAACACCTCCGTGAGATGCGCTCAAAATAGGGCTCCTTCCAAGACGGGTCACGTGGCAGCAGTCCTAGCCGGTGGCCCGTGCTTATGCACCTGCTCGACTGGTTGAGGAAGAGCCCCACCCCGCAATCCAGCGCTGCTTCTGCCATGAGACTGGCTTAAGACGCTCGTGACTGAAGCCCCGGCAATTCTGGGCTTCCTCAGCCCCGTGCCCCCAAACACAACGGACAACGGTTCCCACCCCGCCCCGGGATCAAAGGAGAGATGCTCTTCCCAGTCAGTAGAAGACAGGCAGCAGAGAAGAGGTCAGGGATAAATGCTCCCCGTGGAGGGGTGGAAACAGCACCCCCACAAAGATCTGAACTGCCCCCAGTGCTTCTCCTCTTATTCACACCCGATCTGGCATTAGGAGCGAGTTGCAAAGGGGTCACGTCGGCTGCGGCAGCACAAAATTTGGAGAGGTTAGGAAAGGCTTGGGGGTTGGACGGAGCTCTAAAAGGACCTCCCCGGAGACAAGGAGCATCCAAGTGGCAAATAATTTGGGTGGGGGGAATCCCAGGTTCAAGTGTGAGCTGATGGGGGTCTAAGGTAGCCGTGACTGATCCAGGGAGAGATCGAACGGCTGTGGTGGACGGAGGGATGGAAACGCTGACCGATCGAGCGGCTGCTGTGAAAAAGGCAAACTTCGTGCGACGGAGCACGGAGAATGGACCTGCCTTTCGGAAACGAGGCATCCCGCGTGCCGAGGCTTGTCCTGGTCCCCATAGCAAAAAAAGGGTATTGCAGAGCTGGGAACGAGGCAGCGATGTCCCTGTGGGAAAAGATAGCCAAGTTCGGGGGAATTTAGCTCCCCAAAAGTGGCGAGTAAGCCATGAGAGGGGCTTATAAAATAACGCACAGCAGGGAGAAGGTGGGTGGGGAGAAGCGCTTCCCCTCTTCCGGGGTGGGAGTTCCGGGATGGGAAAAGGGAGGACTTTTTCACACCCTCCGTCGTCAAACTACGGACTTTGCTGCCCCACGATGTGCTGATGGCGTGGAGAGATTTAAGGGGGGGGTGGACCAATTCATGGAGAAGAGAGCTATCCATGGCTACCTCTGGCATTCAGGCATGCCTGCGCTTTCCAGGGGGCGAGGGGTCGCTCAGAACGCAAGCAGAATGCTGCGCTGGAGAGGCTGGGAGGGGGGCCCTCGCCCCCCTTGCTGCAGAAATTCAGCCAAGACGCGGCTGGCTTCCTGCTAAGCACTGGCAGCAAACGGCCACTCAGAACAGCCCAATTCCGCTTGCCTTTTTCCCAGCAGCCTGCAGAGTGAGCCCGGAGGGTGGGGGGGAAATAGGCCCTGGCGCCCACCCCCAAGACGCCAGGCCTCACAGGCCTTTGGTGTACCCTCATTCTTAAGGGGGGGCTGCTAAAGAGAAGGGGGAGCCCGTCCCGCTGCAGGGCCGAGTCCTCCTGCCCGCCCTGCGAGACATGGAGGCATGTCCCCCCCAGCGCCCCCACGATACCTGCCCTCGATGACTGTGATGATGTCGTTCATCTGGATCAGGAGCTTGTCCGGCTCTTCGAAGTCCTGCAGGGCCCGCATGTCCGTGGGCTGCGCCTGGCGGGGGACAAAGGCCGAGTGGTGGGGGGGCCAGCGCACGAGGTGTCTGAGCTGGGCCCAGCCCGGCCGAGGCAGCGCAAAGCTCTCAGGGTGCCAGAGCCCGGCGAGGGGTCCCCCATGAGGCAGAGCTGGGAGGTCTGAGAGAGCAAGGAAGGGCGCTTCCTCCAGCCCAGAGTTCCCGTGGGCTTCGTTACCCCGAAATGCAGGGGCCGGCTGACACGGGCCGGCTTGGATGGGCTACCGACCAGGACATATTGGAGGAAAGGATTGACTGATTGATTGATGTCTCGCCTTTTTCCTTCTCACAAGGAACCCAGGGCTCCTGATATGGTCCTTTCCTCCCCATTTTATCCTGGCAACAAGCAGAGCTGGGAGTTCCAGGACTGGCCCCGAGTCATCCAGTGAAGGATCATCTTGACTCAGGAAGGATTAGAGGATCGCCCGAGTCCCAGCCCAGTGCTCTAACCACTAGGCCGCACTGGCTCTCTACATTCAAGCAAGGGGTGTTTCTGTACTCATGTCCCATGTGTGGACTTCCCACTGGGGCATCAGGCCGGCCATGGTGGGAATGGAAAGCCAGACAAGCAGGACTCTTTGTTCATGCTCGCAGCACTGTTCCTGCCTTCTCCCCATCTGGATGAGCCTCGGTAAAAGGAGCACCATTTGGGAAGACGGGAGCAGGAGAGGCACTGTGACCCCGCTGCAGAACCTGCCTCTTCCAGGCCCGCAAGAGACGCTGGGGGCCCAGCCGGCAGCCCTTGCCCTACACTTTCCACCCAATGGGGCATGGCTGCAGGATTGGCAGGGCCTAGAAACGAATGGGGGGATGCAGAGGTCACGCTAAAAGACAACACGTCATACCCAGGGCTATGAGAACTGCACCGGACCATCAGAGTCTGCACAGAAAGGACACACTGTGGTTCTGGGATATAGTTCCTCAGAATCTCAGATCCTTTGTTTTCGTGCAAGTTCCTAGGCCTCATGCTTGCAAAGATTTGCATGCATCTTGCTTGGCAATGACAGGAGAAGATGCAAAAAAGGGGAGGGGAGGGGCTGAATAAGGTTTGCAGCAGTGTGTGGGGTGGGGTGGGTGGGGGGGGGGCTTAGGTGTCCAGCATAGCTCCTTGTTCCTGCTTACAAGTAACCCATGCAGGTTAATTAACCCACATTTTGTAGAACCACAGGGATTAAAATAACCATGCACTGCTCACACAGGATTGTGGAAATCAACATTTCTTGGCCTCAGTTTTGGAGGAAAGAATTCTGGAATTTTAGGAATGCCTGCCATGAAATTCACACAACAATGATTACTTTTCTAATCTGCCCAGGAAATAATGCCTCTGGGTGGCTGACAAGCAGTTGAAGCACTAAAATTCCAGAGAAGAGATGGAAAGTACAATTATCCAAAAAAGGAAACCGGAATAGAATGCAAAACAATAAAGAGCACAGCCGCTGATCAAACAGCTATGAGAAGCTCACTGAGCTGCTTAGGAGAAAAGAAAGATCTTTTACCTGATGCCCAAAAAGTTACAACTGGTGTCAGGTGAGCCTCTTTGGGGAGTTTATTCTCCCCACAACCGCACCTGCCCATAACCTGTGGTGTTTCTCTCTCCCCCCACTAGGTGGCAGGACAGGGGTCCTTCCAATAACATGTTCCAAGCATGTTCAAACATCCAATGTTAACCTGAAGTTCAGGTTAAGATGAAAAGCAGTTTCTGTTTCTGTGTTGCTGGTACTAACATTTAAGCCCCCAAATGGCTGGGATCCAGCTCACCTGAAGGGTCATCACACAGAATCCTAGAACAGAAGAGCTGGAAGGGGCCACAGAAACATAGCCAGTTCGAAGGGTCTCCTGGGCCATCTAGTCTGACCCCCGGCACCAACTGGCTCCGCTCACAACATGCCCACCATGTACACGTCCAGCCTGTCCTTGAACACCCGCACCGATGGGGCCTCAACAACCTCCTGTGGAAGCCCATTCCACACCCTGGGGGTCCTGACTGTCAGGAAGTGCTTCCTGGCATCCAAATGGAACCTGGGTTCCCTGAGCTTTGCTCCACTGGAGTCCGTCCTGCCTTCCTCTGCAGGGGAGAACAGGTCTCTCTCCACCTCCGTGTGACACGCCCTCATGTAGCTATATGCCAACAGATCCCCTCTGAGTCTCCTCTTCTCCAGGCTGAAGAGACCCAGTTCCCTCAGTCTCACCTCATACAGCATCCCCTGCAAACCGGCCACCAACCTTGTGGCCCTACGCTGCACTGACTCCAACCTGGCTATATCCTTCCTGTAACGAGGGGCCCAAAACTGAGCACAATACTCCAGTTGCGGGCGCACCAGAGTCATGTAGAGTGGTAGTAACACCTCCCTTGATCTAGAAGCCACACTTCTGGCTATGCAACCAAGGGTGGCGTTCGCCCTCTTGGCCACCGCATCACACGGCTGGCTCACGTTCAGCCTGCAGTCAACCAGCACCCCGAGGTCCCTTTCACAAGTGCTGCTCTCCAGCCACTTGTCCCCCAACCTGATGGACATGAAGGCATCCCCTTCCCAGCATTACTGTCTGTGCCCCACAAGTGTCCTAGCCATCGTCGGGGACCCCCTGCCAAAGGCAGGGAGGCCTCTCGTGAGTTTTTGATGCTTAAGGGAAGAACCTCTTACCTTCCCGAGCATTCCAGTTTCTCTTGTTTTAAATCTGCTGCTAGTTTTACTTGGCTTTTAACCTCTATTTTAAACAGCCCTTTTAAACTTTTACAGCACATCTTAATGGTTTTATTTGTTGCGAACTGACCGGAGAGGTTCAGTTATGGGGCAGTGTAGAAATACAATCAATCCATCAATCTCATCATCTGGAGAGAAACTCCAAGTTTGCATTGCTCCGCCTTGCGGATGTGCGAGGAATCTGGTCTGGGGGTGGAACCTGCCCATTTCGTCCGCTCAGCAGGCCTCTGTCCCAGCTTCTCCCTTCTGTGCACCAAACATCTGTGTGGGTGTTTCAGCCAAGATCTGCTTCCGCATACACAAGTTGTGGGAGATTTTAGCATACTTCGCGCAAAGCATTGCCTAACGTTTGCAATTTGTGCACGGAATTATGTACTTTCTGTAGTTGCACAAAGAACTGCACACTTTGTGCAAGGAAGCTGCGAGTGTTGCTACACACTTGCGGGCTGGTCTTAGCCTCGCTTGCTTCCTGGGACAGAAGTCCGTCAAGAGGGCCAGAGGCCGACCAGATCTCTGCGCACCCAAACCGGCTTCCTGCTGCCCAGGTTCGCTCCCCCTGCCCAGCTGTTACCTCCAGCAGGAAGTCCCGCAGGGCCACAAAGGTGGGCCGGTCTTCTGGTTTGTGCGCCCAGCACTGCAGCATGACGTTGTAAATGTCCTGGGGGCAGTCCTCCGGCCGGGCCAGCCGCTCTCCCTCCTTGTCGATCTTGTGCAAAATCTAGGCAAGAGAGCGACACCCAGGAGGGTAGGACAGGGCAAGCTTCCCCACTGAGGACTAGCAGCGTGAAAGACCTGAAGGGGAGCTCCCCGTCCGTCCCAGGGAGAGCTGCGCTCCTGCCCCTGCCGCGATACCTGACTTCCGTTCAGGCCGACCCACGGCTCCTGCCCATAGGTGAACATCTCCCACAGCGTGACTCCAAACATCCAGGTGTCGCTGGCGTGCGAGAAGGTGCGGGTCTTCAGGCTCTCGGGAGCACACCTGGCCAGCGGCGATTCGAGGGCCACAGAGCAAGCGGGGAGAGAGAGGGAGAGAGAGGGAGGGAGGGAGGGAGGGTCACCAGTGAGGAGCCCAAGTGCAGCGGCCGCTCAGCACACTGCCAGGCAAGGCGAGGGGGGCGCCCACCGACATTTGCAGGCTGTGTGCCCCTCCGTGGGACACGCAGGACTCCACGCCTCCTCCCAGCCACAGCCGCCCCCGTGGCTTCCCCCCCCCCGCTGCCACGCTTGCCAGCCTGCCCACGGTGGCTGGACGTGGCTGCAAGGAGCTGCAGGAGGGCAGCACCCTGGTGGGACGAAGACCGCCCCCCCGCCGTGCCGCCTGGCCTGCCTGGCAGCCCCCTTCCTCCTCTCCAATGGCTGCTGCCCACTCCCCGCCGCCCCCCACGCCCAACCTGCCGAGCCGCCCAAAACAGCGAGGGCACGCGGGAAACAGAGCGCACTGCTCCGTCCTTCGCTCTGGCGGCCAGAGGGAGCCGGTGGAAAAGCACGAGTGGCAAGGGGGGCTCTGGGGGCCTCCAGGGAGCTGCCGTGGGGCCCTCACGGGGGTGGGGGGTTCAGCATTCGGGCCGTGGCCCCCCTCCCGCCGACTTGGGACACGGCTCCCCACCTCCTGGGGATGAAGGTGTGCCGGCGGCGGCAGCCACGTCCGTTCACGTGCGAGGCATGCGCTTGATCCAGACGTTGGAGGGGCCCGCCGGGGGCTCTGCTCCCCTTGGCGGGTCCTTCGGGAGACCCCCCTTCACTCCCCAAGCGGCGTGATGAGCTCGGCCCCTCACGGCTGCTTCTGGAAAGGTTTTTCCAGCGCCGCCACTGAGATGACTCTGCCGCTCCGTTTCCCCATCTGCCGCCCTCACGCCGGGTTTCAAGCTGGCCTGAGTTTCCCAATTTGCCGGGGACGCACACGCTGGGGAGCCCGTGGCCACGCAGAAGCTGCCGTGCCCCCCTCGGACACCAGCGAGCACAGGAGCCGCGCGAGAGCGCAGCTTCCCCAGCACCGATCCGCCGCACGCGCAAGAGCAGGCGCGAGAGCCCACAGACGCCTCCCACAGAGAAGGGTTCGCGCCCGGAGCGCCAGGTGGCGGGCACGCTCGTGCGTCCCGTGAGCAAGGCCGCATCTCTCTCCGCCCCGGCCCTCAGCCCGGCCGGGATCGGCAGCAGCGAGGGGCAGCGGGCGCAGCGTGGCGTGTGCGCACGGTGCCGCTTCCGGTTCCGCCGCGGCCCCCCCCCCCCCCCCCCCCAGCAGCTCACCAGGCGAAGGGGACCTTGCGGTGCTCCTGCATGACGTAGTGGTCGTCGTTCTTGGGCAAGGCCCGCATGAGCCCGAAGTCGCCGATCTTGACCAGGTCGTTGGCGGCCAGCAGGATGTTGCGGGCGGCCAGGTCGCGGTGGATGAAGCGCTTGGACTCCAGGTAGGCCATGCCCCGGGCGATCTGGACGGCGTACTGGCAGAGCGTGGCGATCAGGAAGTGCCCCTGGTTCTTGCGCAGGCGGTCCAGCAGGGAGCCCAACAGGGCCAGCTCCGTGACCTGCGGCGGGCGGGCGGGAGGGAGGTGATGCCACGAGGCCACGGCTGCCCCACTGAGTGGCCCACACCCGGCCACCCCACGCGCGAGCCAGTCAACCAGCAAGCCTGGCAGAGGGACGCTGAGTGCGTCCAGCCCGAAGCCCTGCTGCCTTTGGGGAGCTCCTGCGGGGCGCCCTCCGAGGGAGGGACTAATGAGAAGAAATGCCAGCCTGGCTGAGCGTCAACCCTCGGTGCCCGCGGCTAAACCTCAGGGAGAACCCGCACGAAGCAGGAATCCACAGAATGGTCGCACTGTTTTGGCTGACCTGACCCTCTTTCACCTCCTCCAATCACTTTGGTCTTGCTTGGTAAAACACAGTAAAAAGGCATTTCGGGAAGTGGAGGTGGGGGCAGGAACCTCGGAGGGATGCGGCCTTCTGGGGGAGCAGGGGGCCAAAGGCAGCCCCAGGTGGGCCGTCTGGAAGCCCCGGGCCTGAAGCACCATGCCTCTGACTTAAGTGACGGGTTTGGACGAAGGAAGCGCTGCGTTCGGTCCAGGCAGAGGAAGCTGGCCTCCCTTCCCATGACTGAAGCTGTGCCTCACAGACCCTGCGAGGAGTCCAAGTTCCGCTTACTGAAGCGCGGCTCCCACACAAGCGCTGGGTGCGTTTTCACAGGTGAAAGTGAAGCGTATGCACGTGAGTGCGGAGGATGCCTTTTCACAGAAGGGGCACGCTGTTTGCGGGTTTACAGACCCCGGCATTCAGCTTTCTTTATGTTCAGAACTGATGCTTCTTCGTAAATCAGCTGGCTGGGGGGTGCTGGGGCTTTTTCCTTTGGAACATGCACAAGGTTGTGCCCTGAGGGCCACCATCCCGGCTGCTTCCCGCAACAGGACTTAGAACACGAAAACTACAGAGAAGCCCCGTTGGGTCAGTCGAGGGTCCACCTGGCCTAGACAGCTGCTCGGATGGGAGGCCCACGGGCGCCCTCTCGCCCACATTGCCCAGCAACTGGGGCACGTTGCCTCCGATACTGGGAGGCGTGAGTGGCCATGAGGACTAGCAGCCCTGCATAGCCTTCTCCTCCAGGAATTTCTCTCACTCCCTGTTAAGGCTGCTCAAAGGTGCGACCATCACGACGTCTCGCGGGAGCGACTGCGTCTATGCTGAACTGGACAGAGAGGGGATGGCTTGGCCGGCCTCCTCCGATGTGGCAGCCTCCAGGTGTGATGCTGGCTGGGGGTGGCGGGAGGTAAAGCCGATGACGGCCAGAGGTGCCACGGAAGGGAAGACTGGACCGGGAGCGAGGAATGAGGAAACGCCAGCCAAAGGGAGAGCCCCCAGGCAGACCGCCGGTGCCCTGGAGAAGGGGCCAGGGGAGGCAGCTTCCCCAGGCCTCTGTCTTCGGGGGGCCTGGGAGAGTGGGCGCTACCCAGCCAACCACGGCTTTCCTCCAGTGGCCTGAGCCCTTCCTGGGACCGATCCTGCCCACTCACCATTTTCATGGGGTTGGAGAGCACCACCCCGTACAGGCGGATGAGGTTCATGTGGTCCAAGGAATGCATCGCGTTGACCTCGCGGATGAAGTCGTCCAGGGCCTCGGGCTGGCTGAGCACATCCGTCTTCAGACACTTGACCGCCACGTTCAGCTGGGGGAGAAAACCAGGCGAGAACAGGCAGGGTTCAATTCCTAAGAGCCCAAGAATTTCCTCACATATTTATTTTCTCCTGCTTTACTAGATTCACACAATGTGAGAAGACGTGTATCCCGGTAGAACGTGTCGCTCTTCCCATGTCCGACCTGTGCGTACGCAGGCATCCGATCCACTGATCCTGGGGAAGCACAAGGCCCCCAGGACTGGCGGCCAGGACAGCCTTCCCCTCTCAGAGCCCTCCAAATTAGTGGCCACCCCTGCACCTGGTGGAAGTGGCGCTGGGCTGTGTGACGAAGGCCTTCCTTGGATCTGCCCCAACTCTCCCACCCCTCAGCTTCATGGGGCGACTCCGCTGGGCTCGCCCGGTCCACTTCCTCCACCCCAGCATAATTCTGTGCACCTTGATCAGGTCTCCCCATCTGTGTCTTCTCTCTAAGCTGCACGGTCCCACGCGTTGCAAGTTTAGGGTAAAGGCGCATCCCGTCAATGCTATTTTCGCCAGCCCGATGTCCTCCTCATTTGTGGGACCTCAACCCCCATCCTTCACAGCCAGCCTGGCCAATAGTCAAGAATGCTGGAGGGCATCTGGTTGGGGAAGGCGGGCCCAGGCTGACCAGCAGCACATCTCCATGCTCTCCGGGTAGGTGGGATCCTTCCCAGCAATTCTAGCAAAGGTCCTTTTTTAAGAGGAGGTGCGTGCATGTGTCCTTCCAGGGAGCTATAGGCAGTATCTGGCGGTGTCTCAGCGCTAACACTGAGGACGCTGTGCTTAGTGCAACGGGGAAAGGCACCAGTTTGGTGCACAGGGAAAGCAGGAATTTGCTCCTTGGAGTAGCGTGCATAGGAAAAATGCTGCCAGCTATGGCAACTCCATCATTGCTAGCGCTGGGACACCGCAGGTGTTGCTTGAGTATTACCATGCTGGCCTTTAATCCTTCATCGACCGTTAAGACGCAGGAAGCCCTGGCTCAGGAGGAGGAGGAGAAGCAGGAACAGATGGAGACGGAAGGGGGCCCTTACCAGCTTGCCGGAGGGTGCGCACCACTCCCCACGCCGCACCACCCCGAATGAGCCGTCACCCAGCTTCTCAAAGAGGATCAGGTCCTTCTCGCTGATCAGGCAGGTCAGGGCCTGCTGCTGCCCCTCCTCAAGGGGCGGCGGCGTGGACCTCTTGCCTGGCAAGCTCTGTGGCGGGGGCTGGAACTCCGAGTCAGGCCGCTTCCCGCTGAAGACCTGGAGGGATGGAGAGGAACATGGGATGTGGGAGCCGAGGGCCGGAGCCATGAGCTGAAGGGGGAGGGACGTTAAAATGGGCCTCGTGATCGCTGCTACATATATGCAGCACATACAGACACACAGCTATTTTTCCCATGTTCCATTTTTTATTTTTGCATAGAGAATATTTCTAGAAATCTCCCATTACAGTGTTTTATGGTTTTACGGCATTATTAAAGCATTTCCCAGTGTTATGCCCTGCAGATGTGCTGGACTACAACTCACATCATTCCTAGCCTACATGAAGCTGGGCAAGGTGTCTATTTGTGTGCATCTCGAATTTAAATTATATTGTACTGTAAAGTACTCTAGGTTGCATTTTCATCCAAACAAATTTATATCAACAACATATTAATTTGTTTTGGCTATCAAGTTAATTTTATATGAGTTGGCCCTTGTTGTTTTTCAGTGCAGTTTTATTATGATTTAAATTTATATATTTAAATGTAGGGCATGTATATGCCTATGGGACAGGTTCATAAAAAATCAATAATACACCATTCAAAATGTAATTAACTAGTTAACAATGAATACAGCTTGACCCAGAAAACAGGCCTATCAAAAGTCAAAATAAAGAAGTCAAATAAATAACTAAATGAAAATGGGAATTCTATTTCATTCCAAAGCATAATACAAGAACAAAGAAAGAGAAACAAATGAAGCAAAACCGAACGAGCAATAAAACAAGTATGGATAAAAGTGAAAAGAGCGACTGCTCATGTTTGCATGCACCATGAGGTGCCGGGGCAGCAGATCGGGGCCACCCCGAGCCCCACACAATCGCCCAGGGCAGCCGCTGACGGGCAAGGCAGGCTTCGCCACCGTGGGCTGCAGTGACTCATGCGCCAGTGAAGCACAGTATCGCTCTCCCGGCGGGGCTCCAGCCTGACTTACTCACGCAGCGGGGCCCGGATTTCTGCGGGGGATTGGTCCGCGTGGGATGCTGCAGAGAAGGGGCTGGAGGCCGGGAGGCGCGCCCGGAAGGGTGTCGCACTTCCGGAGAAGACCAGAGACCTTCGGGGAATGAGGCGCGTCTCCGTGCGCAGAGGAGAAAGCCGCCTGGACTGTGCGCTTCCAGGAAGCGTGTGTCTAGGATGCACCCTCCAGATGCACCGGACTGCCACTCCCACTGGATGGGGATGATGGGAGTTGGGGAGCTGTGCAGCTGGATGCTGGGGAAGGCTGGGCCAGGAAGCAGGGGCCTGGGGCAGGAGGACTGGCTCTGCCACCCGGGGGCAGCACTGTGAGGACCTCTGGCCCCTTCCCCGGGCCTCCCAAGGCCACACAGGCCCCTTCCCAGGGGGAGCGCCTCCTTCCGGAGCTAAGAGACAGGCAGGGCCAGCCCCAGGGTCCGTGTAGTCCGGCACTGTGTCCACGCGTCAGCCAGCAAGCAACTGAACTGCGTGAAGAAGCCCCTTCCTTGATCCGTCCTGCTCTGTGGATGCCCCTCGGCCCCGGCCAAGTTCTAGGATTATGGGGGAGGGTGGAAAGCGTCTCCCCTCCTCTTTTCTTCCAGACACACCATTCTGCTTGCGTCTGCCGCGCTTCCCCTGACTCGCCTCTGAGCCGAGCCACACGATCCCAGCTGCCGCCTGCCACCTTCCCTCACGGGGGAGCCGCTCCAGCCCCCGGATCCTTTCGGCTGCCCCTTCCTGCACTTGTCCTGGCCCTACGAGATCCCTTTCCAGGTGCGGGGAAGCTGACCGGCACGCGATGCGCTGCCCTTTCTGCGGCCGCAGCACCAGAAACCCTTGCCAAAGCGTGTTTTCATTTGCGCTCAGTGCGCCACCGCTGACTAACAGCTTGGGCCGCACGCCAGCGACAGAAGCTAATTTAACGCTTTCCTGGTAATTACGGGGAATTGAATTTGGCCGAGTTCAAGGAGCTCATCAGCAATTGAGCCTAGTTATCATGCAAAGAGATCAAACAGGATGTTTCACGCAGTGGTTAGCGTGTGGAGCCGGGACTTGGGTGATCTGGGTTCAAGTCCCCACTCAGCCATAAGGCTCAGCCGGTGACTTTGGGCCTTTGCCGGCTGTTCATGCCGTTTGCCGGCTCCCTTTTCTTTTGTCCACGATCTGATTCTGTTTGATTTTGCATTTCAGTCTTCTTCCGTTCTAAACTTGCCTGAAAGACACACTGAGAGCCTATGCCATCTCCCTTTATAAAAGCTGTCTTACGCAACTGACAAGAGAAAGATGGCAAGGTATAAATGTAACAACAACAACCATCTCCTGTCATGATTTAAAACTGCAAATAAAGCTGACTGGGGGGCATGACTGTGATCAGGGAGAGCCCAAGCATCTTGTCCTTCTGCTGATCCAGTCTGCAGCTACTCAGGCCACGCCCAGCGGGCTGTGGGTGTTTTTTAAAAGATCCATGAAAGGCAGTAACATGCACTTGGCTACAAGGAAAGAATTGCCTCGAGAATTTCTAGGACTCCGTTTTAAAAATCTCGACATGTTTCTAGTCCTCATGAGCACATCTCCTACCTTGCTCATCCAGGATTTCCTCTTGCAAACGGCCTTCCTCCTCTTCACTGCCTCCCAAAGCCGCCTCTGACCTGTGAGGACAAAGCATGGGGTCTCAGCAGGGCAAAAATTGACTGTACCCCAAGATTTTCCCCACCTGGGCCAGGAAAAAGCCAGCGGACTGGATGCTTCGTTGCCGCAGGTCATTCCTACCACTGTTTTGGCACAAGGGAGTGGCAAGCTCGTGTCTGCTCCAGTCTATTCTATTCTAAGATGCTTATGGGGCAAACCACACAGCTCTCTTGGCAGTGAAGCCGTGTCAGTTTGACTGAAATTTGAACGGCGGGGAAGCCGGTGTGGACAGGGTGTGCCTGAGCTTTTCCCAGCCTCCCACTTCCTGCTCAAAGCCGCTCCAGGGCCGTACCACTTTCCGTTGCCACAGGATTCCATAAATCCGGGACCCATGCGCACCCATGCGCTGTTTTGCTTGCAAATCGCATTAATTATTTTTTATTCGTTCCAACGTAGCCACGCAATTGACACCCTCAGCCATTAAGGGAAGCACTCATTTTGCAGCCCATTCGGCTTGAAACCGGGGAGGAGTGCAGGCCGGGGGCAGACTCACAGGCCCGCTAGGGGCAGCAACTTTAGGGACAGGACAGCGGGCAGATCCAGCCCTTCAGGCCTGTGGGAGACGTTCTTCCACGTGGGAGAAGGATTAAACCGTGGGTGGGCAACAGGGAGAGTGCGTGCCGCTGGTGGACCCCTGGGCAGTTTCCAGTGGCTCAGCAGCACCTGCTGGCTCCTGGGGTTCTCAAAGGATGGTTCCTGGGGTTCTCAAGGATGCTGGGCAAGGGGGTGCAGCCTGCATGTGCGTATCACAGAAATGCTTTGCGCCAATTAATTATACCTGAACAAAGAGGCCGTTTGATGCACTTCTGCTCAAAACGTTTAACGCGCACAGGTGCACAGCTGGGAGTTTAGTGCAGGTATCGGGAAAAATGCCATGTCAGCCATGAAAGGTTGAAGTTCTGGGGGAAACGTGGGGGAAAGGCTGTAGCTCAGCAGCGCAGCATGTGCTTTGCACATGGGGATGCTTTCGGGCTCCGTTCCCAGATCCTCCTCGTACGACGAGGACAGGCCTGCCTCTGCTACGTGGCTGGGCGGCAGCTGCTGCTCAGTGCAGCTCGAAGTCCTGGACTTCTCTGGTGGACCTCCCCGCCCCTGTGAATTTCCCGGGAAATTGTGCAAGCACGGCCACGAAGAAGAGCGGAGCGTCCTGCGGCCGAGGAACAACCGCCGCCATTGCCACAGCACTGGGCTTCAGGGGCAAATTCAGGGCAGTTGGGAAACAGGGCCCGGCCGTGGCCCCGCTTCTCTGCAGCCCCGGCCACTCGGTTTCCTGACTGTTACGTAGCTTTCGCCCTGTTCTACAAGGCCAAAATGCCTTTCCTACATTTTCGTGACCCGGAGGAAGCGCTTCAGACTCCAACAGGCTGGCTTTCCCCTACCTGGTGCCCCAGCCAGTCGCTCTCGGCCCTCCAACGCCCCACCCTGAAAAGGGACCCCAGGAGCTTCCCCAGAGGCGAATTTGGCCTCCGGCTGCCGGAGGGCCCAGTTCAGCCCGCCGCCCTGCCCCGAACACGGGCTCACTCACCGGGCCGGCCCATGCCGATCTTCTCCAGATCCTCGTTCTTGACATACTCGAAGTGCGACAGGCGCGTGACGTTGAGGTCGTCGCGGATCCGCAGGAAGTACTGCTGCAGCTGCACCTCGGTCAGCAGCTCCAGGAGCCAGTCGGTGCCTTCGTCCGCCTGCATGCCCCCACTCAGCTTCTGCGCAGGGACGAGGACAGCAAGGTCGGGCGGGGGGGCGGCAACCGCGTCACGGGCCGGGCGGTCGGGGACGGGCTGGCCCGGGGGAGCCGGCTCCCCGCAAACCCTCTGCCCCTTGCAGGTACGTGTGGAGAGCGGGGCCATTGCACATTTGGGGAGCCCCCCACCTGGGGGAACGGAGGGAAGGTCAGCAGGGCAGACGGGAACGTGCCGCTATTTCCACTGCCCCCGCTTAGAGCTCACGGCTCTCCCAGTTTCCTGATGCAGCCAGGCACCGGCCTGTTGCCTGGGATGACAGGAGGTGCAGGATGATGGAGCTGGGGGGTGTCAGCTGGGGAAGATTCCAGAGAGGCAGGGAACTAAGAGGTCTGCCAAGGGCAAGGTAGGTTGAAGGGAGGCAGGTGCGCTGCGAAGGAGGGAGCCCCCAGCCTGTGGTGTGGCAGTGTGGAACGGGGAGGGCTGGGGTGGGGGAGGTCTCTTGGAAGGGCAGGAGGCGAGTGCGGTGAAGCAAAGGGAAATGCAAAGTGAGACAAGGAGCAGCATCGCAAGATCCGAGATGTTCAAAGAGAAAAGTATTTGGGGGCGGGTAGATTTTACATAGAAACACAGAACAGAGCAACTCCAAAGGGGTCTCCCGGGCCATCTAGTCTGACCCCCAGCTCCAGGCTGCTCCGCTCATGACATGCCTGCCACCCTCTCCCTTGACACCCCCCTTGAAGTACCCAGATATTCAGTGAGGTGCTAACCTCAGATAAGAGGACCCCACGAGTCCAAACTGGAGTAGTTTACACCCCTACTTTGAAGAAGCACCACAAGTTGAGAAATCAACTTGTTCCATCCCCATTGCAAATTCAGTGTGAGTTTGCTTCCGTCGTGTCTGTTGAAACAGTGCCATTGAGAGAGGATTACTTGGTCTATTCCCTACTAAGGCATGCTTTTGTGCTGGGGTCATTTTTAATTTTTCTTATTTTTTATCCTGCTGATCCACCAAGAAGGCTCTCAGAGCAGCTTGCACACAACAGCTGAAGCAAGACAGACCCTGCCCACAAAAAATTAAGCCATCTTTCATCCAGGCTGCTGGAACAGTCCCGGTTTCCTGCTCCTCTTTCCGTGCGCCTCCTCCTCCGCATTCTCTGCGGAGATGGCACGAGATGCCGCAACCGGAAGGACCTGCTCATTCTGCAAGGGGAAGCCTGTCCTTGTGGCACAGGGGCATCGGAGTCTGCTGGAGTCTGCCCCCCCCCCCCCCATCAGGATGCTTGGCTTTCCCAGAAGCTTGCGGGAATTTATTTCCCAAAAGGCCAGATGGATGTGAGCAACACATCCGGAGGGCCTCTGCCCCAAGAAACTTACAATCTAAGCATAGTTCAAGGGAGACCCTGACCTGGGCTGGTGCCTGGCCAGAGACATTACTGGCCAGAAGAGATCAGCCTTCCGTCCTTTCCGTTGCACAAAAGGACCCCCCTCAGGTACTGGCCTGCCGTTAGACCACCAGGGCCTCCTCATCCCCGTATCCATCGGGGGCTGTGGAGACTTCAGGGCGAGGCTGCCCGCCCTTGCAACAGGTCGAAGCGGCAGTGACAGTCCCGGTGCAGCACGGCTGGCCTTGCGGGGCGACTGGGAGCCGGAGCACCCTGCATGGGTGCGCCTGTGTGCGTGGAAGCGAAGGGCTGAGCCGGTGCCGCAGCCAGGCCACGGCCGGGAGGACACCGGCAGAGTCCCTTCGATGGGGCGCTCTCCGGGGGTGCTCAGAACAGCCGCTTAGCTTCAGCACCGGTCTCCCCCCCAGCCCTGCCCCCCCCCACACCCGGGGGCTGCAATTTGTGTCCTAAGCAATGCAGCAGAGAGGGCTGAACAGACTGGGGGGGCGGGCGGCTGGCCTGCACTGTTTTCCCAGAAGGCAGCTGAGCCCTCGCTCACCCCCAGCTCCGGCTAATTGACAGTAATGGCTCTCCTGGCCCCGTTCCCAGCATCCCCAGAGGCACGTGTGGGGGACAGAGAGGCTTCTGTTCTCCCTCTCAACGATTCTGCATTCGCGGCGTGGACACCCGGGGGCTGCCAAGCGAGGCCGGAGGCTGGGAACGTCGGACCCAGGCGCAGTCTGGATTCTGCCTCTGCGAGACCCAAATGCCGGACGCGGAGAAAGGGGGCGGGGGGGGGGGGGGAGGGGGGGGCGCCCCCGGGGGCCTTGGGGGGGGGCTGGGGGGCGGGGGGGGGGGGCACAGAGAGCAGACGGTCCGGGGGGTGGTGGGAGTGGAGTGGGGGAGGCAGAGGGGGATTGCTGGGAAGAGCTGCACGGGAAACACCGACAGATTAGCATCTGGAAAACCAGCACTGGTCCAAGGGGGACCCAGGATGGCACCATTTAATGCAATCGCTATTTAAGGAGGACTTGCCCCCCACCCCCAGTCCATTAAAGAGGGCACACAGGTCGTGTTTTGTACAATGTGATGCCCCAAAACGGCTTGGCATCAACCGCGCTTTCACAAGTTCTGCGAGCGTCGGAGCTTTGCAAGTCCACAGCGGAGGCAACAATCCTCATTTCTAGCCAGACTTATTTTATTTTTCATTTGTTCATTTATTTTCTATGCTGCCTGAGAGCCCATGTTCTCTCTCTCTCTCTCTCATCACAACACAACACAACACAACACCCCTTTGCAAGCCACAGTGAGGAAGAGACAGTGGGTCAGTTGCTGGCTGAACCAGACAAACCGCCTGGCGGAACCACCTCTTTCTCAAGAATCTCAACGGGAGACTCCAGACCGGTCCCTAACTCTCCCCTCGCCTCCTTTGCAGGGCCGTTGTGCACATAAAAAGCAGAGAGGCGGGAGGATCAGGGAAGCCACTTGGGGCTTCTTGAAGGAGAAAAGTGGATATAAATGGAACAACCATAAGAACATTAAAATATGTATGACAAACCATCTGCTTGCTGCCAGGAGCCTTCCGGATGTGCGACACCCGGGCGCACGACCTTTCAGCCAGGGGGCCGGTACCTTTTCAGAGCCATTCTCGGGGGCCATTCCGGGGTGGGCGGAGCCAAAGGGAAAGGGGTGGAGCCCCAAATCCAAGCACATTTTAGCTTACGGCACTTTCTGCCAGTCACCAAGCCTTAAAATGAAGTGCATGCGAGAGGACGCAGGGCAATCTGTGGGGGGAAGAGGGCTGGGGAGGGCAGCGTGGCCCCCGGGGGGCTCTCCGGGGTTTCCCGGCCTTGTTTTCCATCGTGGGCTTTGGGAGTTCGGCATCACTGCACACCTTTCGAATGAACAGAACCGGGCGCCTGAACAACTAGCCCAGGGGATGAATTTCTGGACCAAATGCACCGGCTACGGCAGACACCCGCCCCCTCCCCAGCAAACCATTTGAAGGAGAGGGTCACAAACCGCAGGGAGCATGCAGACAGGAAGCGCACGGGGACGAAATCCCAGCTCACACCGACGGGGAGAGCCTGAAAGAAAAGCCCCCCCCCCCGGGTGGGGGGCGGGCGAGGAGACGTGGAACACAGCCCTTTCCTTCCTGCCCGCCTTGGGCACCGAGGCAAACGAGGCTTTCGCTGACATCATGTCCTGTTGGGGAGCCGGCCCGCCTGCCACATCTCCCCTTCATGTGCGCGACTGCCTCTGGCTGCGGGCTGCTGGGATTTGTAGTCCAGGGCCGGGCCGTTCTGCTGCACTCCCTTCCTTTGGATGTTTTTAAGGGAAAGTGGCTACTTCCTAAAGATAACAATGAAATCCTGCAGACAATTCTGCCTCCTCTCTCACACTGCTGCAGATGGCTGTGGGGGGGGGGGGGGATGGCCGGGGGGGGGGCACAACAGATTTCGAGCATGCAGACAGGACTCACTTGGGCTGGCCATGCTGGAAGAAGGCTCTGCCCCGTGAAGGAACCGACCCCCACAGCAGGTGGCCCACAAGGAGTCCATGCTTCCTGGCTGCCCGATTAAACGTGGGGTCCCACAGCCACCAAGCATGCGCCGCACACAGAGCCACTTCCTTTGCACAACCCTGGGCCATCCCTCCGGCTGCCATGTCCCATCACGCGGGAGCTGCAAGGCCCCCTCCATCCAGGGGTCAGCTCCCCAGGTGGAGAAAGCCCTCCCCACCCCATGCCGTAGAAGGGGGTTGCTCTGCTGACGTTCCGGCACAAGGCACGGATTTTTGAAAAATCCACCCAAGCTTTTCGGTGGAGTTTTACTCTTGCTTGCTGCTTTTGTCAGGGGATGCAAACTGCTCTGGGAATTTGGCCGGAGGGCAAACGAGAGACACCTTACGCTTCTGCACCACCTACAGGCGGAGTTCTCTGGGAGGTTCCCAACATTTAAGTCACCCATCCAGATTCCAACCCAGCCCGATCTGGGTTAGGGTACGTATGAAAGCTATGATACCTGGAAGAAACCAGCACGTGAGAAGAGGCAAGAATGCAAATTGCATTAGTCAACAGGCCACGACCACTTCCTTTTTCAAAACAAACCCTCAGGAGTAATGCCTTTCACCCACATGAACAGGAGCTTTTAAAAAGGTATCCCAAAGGGGGAAAGAGGGGCAGAGACTGATGAGGCAGTGGGGAGAAGAGGGGGGCTTAAGTTAATGAATAAATAGGAGGAAGGAGCAGTCGGGGAGAACGGCACACAGCTACCTGCTGCCCCCGTGTGAGGATTCCCACGAAATGATCTTAAGAAATGATCTTAAAAGTAAATGCTTTGAATGCTGCCCATCACTATTTTGAAAGAAGAAATGGAAAACTCAGTCACAGGATGAAATGCCGGAGTGGGGACTGCATTCAAAATCTGAAACAGATGTAGGAGCCCAAACCCCAAAGGGAACAAATGAGGGATGACGCCCTGGCTGTGTTTCCGAAATGTCCATGAATTTTTCCCCTCCTTAATCGGAACATTCTGAAGCTTGGTGTTTCACAGCCGGAAGGACTAGCGACTTGAGATTAATTAAGAGGAAGGTCAGGATCTCTTCAAATTCCAGAGTGTAGGGCATGGAATAATCAAT